CGTACACTTAAGCCAAACACGTAACATAACATTTTAGATCATAATGAACTTTAATGACTACGTTTGTTATAATGGTACTATGGGGGAAAATGCTAGGAACCTTTTGCTCTTGTGTTGCTTCTAATACTTCTTTTGTCCTAGCAACAAGCTGGTCCTTATCTTTGATCTCTTGTTCCAAAACAGCAACTCGCATCTGCAGTTGATTAACTTGCTTCTCTTTTTCATGGCATTCAGCATCTAAGGTAGTATTCTCCCGACGTAAGGATAGAACTTCTTGCTTCATTCTCTGGCATTCCTTATCGATTGGGAAAATAAAGCATTCTAAAGTATTTTAAAGATTTAAGCTTGATTCAAAAAGTAAGTATACACTGCAACAATTGTTTAGATCATATAACTGCATTACATTCACCTATTATAATGTGGAATATTTTCTGTATTTTTAATTGCTTATAAAGTATACAGCTAGAAATTGTTAAGTCATGAAAATCAGATCTTTAAATGGACAAATTGGCAAATGTTACATACATCTTCTGCACTTGATAATTTTGCTTTAAGTTCCCTGACTGTGGAATCGCCTTTGTATCTCCTTTCCATTAAGTCTTTGTTAGCAAGTTCCAGCTCCTTCAGCCTGTTCTGCAGTTGCTGGACAGTTTTCTGATGCAAGTTTTCCAAGTCTCTTTTCTGTTGCTCATTCTGTTGCTGATAATGTGCTTGTGCCTATGGAAAATAGAAAGTGTTTTAGTAATTCTTAATTTTAAAAGGAATCATTTGTTTTATACACTGTATTATTTATATACCTGCAGAGTTTTTTCCTTCTCATTTGATAATTCCTGAGTGTGTTTGCTGTTCAATGATGCTATCTTGGAGGCCCATTCGCTTTTTAAATTATCTAGTTCTCTGCTCTTTTCTGACAAGGCCTAAGAGAAAAAAGCATAGTCACTAGGGTTTCATATAATCCTAGAATTTAACTCTAACAAAGTTTTATTAAAGGACCACAGTCATAATGTCTTATTTGTCTATTTAAAACATATAGCAATATAAATATTGTTCTGCATACCTTCACAATCCTATACTAATCTAAATTGTTTTCTTTAAAAAAAAAGGTTTTGTAGCATATTAAAACATGAATTTCCTCCAATGAGTTAGGCTTTCACCCACTTAAGCTTATGTTACAATTAATTTGTTATTCTTCAAAATATAATAACATTTTGTTAATTTTGCTATTATTTGCTATTCTGATAAAAAAAAATATTTCTATACAGAGGTTCAGCAATATATGTTCCATTAGCTTTATAGTTAGAAACTCTTGATAAAACAGCTGAAATAGCTAAATATATTTATATTGGTTTTCTCTAAATTGGGGCATACTGAAGCTTTGCTCTTACCTGCTGTGTATAATTCAGCTGTCTTGTAAGGTCCTCCTCTGTTCTGCTAAGTTTTTGTTCTAGCAATAACTTTGCTTCCTATAAACAATTGAAAGTTTCTCATCAATATATTTTCAGTCTACAAAGTGATTAATTGTAATATATTCTCCTGGACATTGGAGGGTTTTTTATCAGTCGACATGCATAGGCTTGTACTGTAAGATTGCCTTATTTAGCACATCATTTGCAAGCATATTTATACTACAGGAGTTACACAGGCTGTTTGGTTCTTTTTAAAAATATTTTTAGAATATTCATTCAAAACTAGATGAAATTTCAATTTAGACTTCAGTAACAAATGACTTTGGATTTAATGGATAAAATTTTCCTAACACTGTCTTTGTTATCTTTGATTTAATGGACAGTCAAAAATAAGACATCCCTTACCTCTCAAATGGTCTGTTAAACTAAGATGTCATTGTATTACTATCAATCTGGGCGTCGAGGGAGGAGTCCCTCTTGTAGACATCTGCCCGCCGGGTTTTCAGGCATTCCATCAGCCGAGGACCCGGGGTAGGGGCGGGGGGGTAGCGGTCATTATAAGGGAGAGCCTTCATCCTAGGGAGACCACTGTGCCTCAGATAGACGGTGTGGAGTCCCTCCTTGTGAAGTGGGGGCAAGGGGTTCAAGTGGNACTTGAAACTGAAAACAAATACCTTGCATATGCAAAAATGTAAACGGACTATTAGAGAAGAACTAATTAGGAGTCTAGACGTCTATCCATTAGACAAATATTCACTTCGTATTATAGAAAAACATAGTAATTTAAGCATCTTAGAACTAGTTCACTTTAGTACCCAGAAATCTATTTAATGTTGATGTTGATACTTGATTACTTTAATGTTGATATTTCAAAAGGGAAACGAATGCATGTAAATGCTAATTGTTTAAAAAAAAATGTTATAAACCTTTAATTACAACGTGCTATCCAGGAAAGTAGGCAGAAGTTTTAGAAGGTGCTGCAGGCTTGCATGGAATCTGCACTTTTTTTGGTGCAGAGGACTTCATGTATCCTGCAATGATAAGAATTGATCTTGAAATATCTTTTAAGTTTTCAGAAATTTTGAGAAAATTCTTTGATTTTAATTACATATAAGTATATATTTATATATGTATACACATTTACCTGTGTTTTGAGTTGTGTTTTGATTGAGCCCTCTTAAAGGTATGCTATCTTCCCTTTTCTTTAAATACTTTGTTTCCAATCCCACATTTTCACCACTAAGTCAAAAGGAAATAGAACTGTTGTAAGCAGTCATTTTTTAAAGAGTTTTCTAAGTTTCCATGAAAATTTGCAAGAATTTCAAATGCAATTGCAGATCTCCTATGAATTACTTTATTTAAGACAGCAAGTTCATGAATGCTGGCCTCAAAATCATATCCTGGGGACAGAAATTCCTATATTCAAGGCTTAATTCCTTAAGTTTAATGTGGTTATATTAATTCCTTAGGAGTTTGTCTCTGGAAACCTGGTTTTTCTGCTACTATCAAACAGACCATCTCATCTTGTAAGGCCTCTATCATACTTAAATATCATCATCTTTTTGAAACATCATACAAAGAAGGTGGAGAGTGGCATATGACTGATCACAGCACTGATATACAGTGCACTGTCAAACTTTAAGAGATCCAGTCAGTCAGACAGATGAAGAATCTTAGGTATATTTTATAATTGTTCCTATGGCATCTTTGTTATAAGAAGCCATGTTCCATGAAGTGATGGCATTCTGCTTAGACTCTGGGAAAATGAAAAAATGATCTAGCCCCTGGAACAATTCAGATATTTGCTTTTAGATGTTTCTTCACTGACCTAATTTCCCACCAAAAACTATTACTGTGGGTAATAACCTGAATCACTATTAAAATTCATCACAATATATTCTGTTTGCCTGAAGATATACTAACATTTCCCTGCACACTCCCCAAGCTATTCTTAAAAAGAAAAAAAAAGAACATTAGGGTTTTTTTCTGTACTATGGGGGGAATAATATGTCAATTTAATGTTAATTTTCTTTCATATATATATATATATATATATGTTTTCTGAGGTTTTCGCGGGTGTTTGTATGTAGGTCTTTGCTCATTTGGGTTCTCTCCCGCGTAAAATTGGAAGTATCCTGGCGACGTTTCGACGAAGTCACATTCGTCATCTTCAGGCTGGTGTCTTCAGCTTCCTGCTTCTGGGAGTAGTGTGTGTGATCGCAGCTGTTTCTTCCTTTTAACTGCCAGTGGGGTTTGAGCTGATTGGGTGGGAGCTTGGCTGTGTTCTGATTGGGTGGAGGTGTGCTCTGATTGGTTAAGGAGCTTGGCTGTGCTCTGATTGGATGGGGGAGTGTTCTGTTTGGGTGGGGGCTTTGTTGTGCTCAGGTTAGTCTGAGTTGCAGGGGGATTTGAGATGGTGAGCTTCATTGCTGTAGTTTGGCTTCGTGTTCGTGGTCGTGCCACATCTTTATGGTGGGTGTCAGTTTGCTTCATGTATGGATTGG